CTTATGATCTGCTAGCTATCTCTTTCGCTTAGCTGTTGAAATAGGTATCTTAGATTTGGCTATTGGTCATGTGATCAAACACTAGTAGGACTTTCTTTTCTCTTGAGGTTGATACGGGAGGGGCCTCCACCATCGCTTAACAGTACTGGCACCAGATTGAAAGCAACAAGGGATCGATGATGATACCTATTAACATTTTGGCCTAATGCAGGTTGGCTCGCGCAGTATTCATTCTAGCGACGGTATTGTAGCTGCAAATCTAGCATCGCCGTTTAACGTGACGGATCGCGATGAGTATCCAACTCCATGAAAGAATAACTTGCGCAAAACGAGAACCGGCCGAACTTTTCTACTAGTGACACTGATGCCCCAGACGCCAAGCCCGTAACCAGGATTAATTGCAGATGTATCTCATTCGCTCGGGGGCTGTTTGGTGGTTGTTGGTAAAGTTGTGTATTTATGACACAACTTGGAAAGTTGTTGTCCACCTCATCAATTTTACTTTTGTAATTTTCTTTGTTTGTTTTTGATTCCATTGGAATCATAAATTGCTTGTTTGGTTTGCAAATGTAACTTTAATTGTTTGTTTGTAAAATGTAAAAAATGGTCCCTATTATTGGTTGGATTTTTTTATTATTATTTTTTCCTGACTTCATTGTCAGCTTTCTCCTAAAATCGTGTCTTTTTTTTATGAAATCACTTTACAAGCCACATCAACATATGAAATCATTTTACACCGTTTTCACAACTACAAGCAAACAATTGAAAGTGATGAAAGCTGACATTAGGACCCACTTTTTTACACTTTCCATCCTTTTACATGGTAAAAACATACAACCGAACCGCCCCCTCATTCTCCGTACCTACTTTTGACCCTATAATCCCAGAACGAAGTCATTTAGAACTATCATGTGAGCGTAATGTGATGTCAAAACTGCTGCTAGGAGATCCTGTAACAGTTCACCGCGGAACACGTTAGATACGGAAAAGACTACTCATTTTGGGCATTAGAGAGTCTTGAGTGCTAATAATAAACTTTTTCTGGGTAATAAATCAACAGTTAATCCTTATATAAATCGAAAGCATTATTAGATTCTTTATTCACCCGCACTGTTTTAAGAAATCAAAAGCGAACAAAGAAAGCGAATAGGATACATACATACGTACGACGATAATTGAAACCTAATCTCTGAAACCGTGCCAAGCACCAAGGAAGCCGAGCACTTTATTAGTACAGGGGAAATCCTTCAATCAGGAGCAGGCATGATCAGTGCTCTGTAGACTTGTGAGCCAAGCTAAGACCAAAGCAAAATGGTGTCACCCAACCACCGAAAGGGGCAAAAATGCGTCGAAAGACTTGGTCCCTCAAATCGCCTTCAAACAACTCAACTACTATTACTGGGTCCAAGCCACTGACATAGACAAATATCCCATCCAAGTACCCTTTCATATTTTTCTTCATCCCACTGCATGATGCTTGAAGAACCTAATGTCAACTCAATCTCAACCATCTTTACAGTAGGAATATCACATGGGAGGAGAAATCATACCTTTGATTGATGGATTCCTCACCAAACAGGAAGCAGTTTTGAGGGTTGGTAAATGGTTCCCCCAAACACTAATAAGGCCATAAAACAAAACAAAACAATAATAATAATAATGGTACGGTTAATTGCCAATAGAACCCATGTATTATCACTGAATTCCAGATAGACCTCGTGGTTCTTGATCCTGTTTGTTTCGCGTAAGACTATCTCCAGCAGGTGGGTTTTGGGGGGTTTTTTTTGCTCCAGCAGGTGGGCTTTTGGGGGGTGAAATGGAAAATCGGTTTCGGATGGGTGAAAATTTCACCTCCCGCTTTTGGGGGGTGAAATTAATTGAGCTCATGTATCAAGCCATGTGTCAAGGCTTGATTGGTTGGAGTTTTTTGTTTTACTCCTAATTTTTAAATGATATTTTGGGAGATAAATACTAGGAATTAATTTATAATTTTTATATCAATAATTTTTATTTTTTTACCTCTATAAATAGAGATTAGTCTTGTGTAATTTGGACACCAAAAAAAATCTTTTGAAAAAACTTTTATATATATAAAAAATTAAATTAATAATATATATTATTTATGTAAATATTAAAAAATTATAATTATAAATAAATGAGTTATATTAGTAATACTAATAGTAGTAGTAGTAATATATATGAAATAAGAAAAAGAAATGAATAAATAAGGTGGGGTATATATGTTGGAGTGATGGGGTTAGTGGGTCCCAAATAAAGTAAAAATCTTTTGAAAAAACTCCTGCTGTAGAGATGATAGAAAATGAAGATTGTTGAATTATGTGGAGGGGAAATAAAGTGATATGGCAGGAGAGAGAAGGTTAAAATTTCGACTCTGGTGATAGTCTAAAGATCAGGCTTCATAAACTAAAACACGTGAGCTTCCTACTGCTTGCATAAAGACCCTTGCATACCAATCAATCAACTAACTGGGTTGAGCCGGAGCCTATCCGCAGCAGCGATCAAAGTATAGGGATGTATACGCAATTTGGCGATAGTACAACAGGTCTACGTACGTACTAACAACAATTAACCAAAAAAACTAATTTTCTTTAAAGAATAATAAAGGAAACAACGGCAATCACATCAGCAAGTTGGAAATGCTGGATTATCTCTTGCAGGTTGTCAGGGGAGGTGGAAATTATGCTGCCCCGAAAAGGAAGATTGGCTCCTACCAATTATTGGCTACGCTTGCAGCTTTAAAGGTATTCCCTTTCTTCAAGTGGGCCAAGAGCAGTGATGAGATTCAATGTTGGGCCTTAATTTCCGTGTTAACTGACAAAAGAGAGAATCAACAATCCCACCACTAGCATCTTCTACCTACAGTAATGATTGAGAGTGGAGATTTATATCTGAACCTGTGAGAAATCTACACAGGAAGCGTATCCCTGGAGATTTGAGAAGTTGCATGATCTATATGCGTACAAATTATTTCATAGCAATCATTTAGTGCCAAAATGAAGTCAAACGCACAATCACGAGCGAAGAGAAGGTAAAACAGAAACATGATAAGAAAACAACCAAAATTTCTCGTTTTACCATCACCACCCACAATACCTCAGTTTTGGTATTTAGTTAACAACTAAAGTGATGTCATAACTATGATTTATCAAAATCATCAGGTTTTATCTAATTTTATGTGCTTAAAAGTCCTGTGTGTTATACTTAAGACACGATCGGCACCAGGTTTTATTCAATTTTATGTACTTAGAAGTCCCGCGTATTATACTTAAGACATGATCGGCATCAGACTATCTCATCACCATAGTATGAAACACACAGTGTGCCTTAATGTTACTATCTGCCACAAACTCAATTATGTTGTTTGGTGCTTGCGGCATAAACAGCATCCTAAGACCACCCGGATACCTGAGTAGCTCATGGATAACTTAATGCCATAACCTTATAAGGTCTTTCGATACATCCCACAGGCCTTAGGTGTATCGATTAATGTTTCCGCTACCTGAATTCAGTACAGATGCTGATAGCTTTAACATGATTTTCTTAATTTCATCAAAAATAACAATCACACATATTATAGGCTAGCTATATCCTAAACTCGCTCGTGACACATTAAAGTGGTTGGCCCGTTTTAATCACTGGCGAATCTAAAACCGAGCTGATTATAACCAAAGCCACGAACTTAATTACATATTAATGCAATCTACTGAGCACGATCATCCATGTCATTGCCCATCAATAAAAGCTCCCAAGAAAGTTTCGTAGAGGGACGTAAGAGAATGATCTCATGCAACCATTCAAGATCTCAACACTCATCGCATAAAACTTCAAATACTTCAGACACTAAACTAGTGGATGACGCTAGACCTGTGAATTTTTGCGTTGGTGAATTAGATTCTCTGTGAAATGACTATAGAGTTATGCCCAATGTGATCAGTAGTTCAGCAGTACCCCCCCAAACAGAGCAGATAATGATATAACATCCAAGAGCCCAAGTCTAGCTGGGCAAACCTAAGAAAGCATCAGCCATCATAACTTCTTTCTGTCAATTTTGTTGCTTTTTAGGGGGGGAAATTCTGTGGCCACAGTCCTACATTTGACCCTCAAGAAATAGTATGGTCAGAACAGTGCTAGGAGTTCCAACGCTAGTAACATGATGAGATGCTACAGGCAAGGCCAACCTCAAGACAACTGCTATATTAATACCTCTTGCAGCATCTAATGCCATTTCCTTGTTAATTCAAAAAGACCAGCACATGCAGAAAAGACAAGAGTCCTTCACTAGGACAAAGGGAAAGCTTTCTCACATTGGTTCAAAATTGGAGGGTGACAACCAAAGGAGGACTCCATGAGAACAATGTGGGCATCCCTAGTTAACAAGGTCAAAATCAGAGCAGCATAATTTGACCATAAGGACAAGGGGGAAAGCTTTTTCAAACTGATTACTCAGAGCAGCGCCATCTGACCATGAGGAGAAAATAATGCAGTATCCAGCTACATCTCACATATTCCATTGCTAATTGGGGAGAAGAATAACTCTGTGTCAATTAGCTAGGAGAAAGGAAGCAAGTGACTTTGATTCTCATGTTTCAATCCAACTTGGCTGGTTTAAATATTATGGGAAAAAACAGGAGGAAGAAAGAAAGAAAGTGTATGCCCAAAACTAAAAGAAAATGGTTCAGTTTTTGTTATCTCATGGTGTGAAAGAGTAAAAGATAATGCTTCCGCTGGGCAGATGCCAAGCACATGGGAATGAGAATGATTAGTAACAGTTTGGCAGAAGACAACAGAAAGTAGGAATTGTGGCACACAACCTAGAACAGAAGAGGATAAGGGATGTATGAAGATTCCGGTGAACAGTGGACAGTAGATAAGGCATGGGGAAAGTAAAGCAGGGTTAGTCACTAGAGAACCTACTAGTTAAATAAAATGAGAATATGTTGGAGCCAAATATAATTCATTTCATCCCTGAAAACAATTCATCAGCAGAATAACTATACTGTCATTTATCCACGGGAAAGAAAATGATTTGGCAAAGTAAGTGTGGTTTTATTTGGAACATTGTTAAAGTGCAAATCACCATCAAAATAACAAACAAGGCATAGTAGTATACCAATATTATTCTATATGGCTTCACTTTTTTGAACCCCTAAATTGTTCTCCATAATAGTAAGCACTTCCAACCATCAAAGCAACTGTCGCACCCTGAACTACGACACGAGCCCTCATTAACTTCTGGCCCAACTGAGAGTTCCCTTGTCTGAAACTGATCAGCCCAGCCGTAAGCACACCGGCTGTGATCAGTGCACCTGATATAAACAAGTATTAGATCAAAAGGCTAATAGTCATTAATGCCTCCTAGAAACTAAGTTCTTTAAATTTGATCAAGCTCTAATTTACGCGCAAGAACAAAACTGGGCAGGATCTCAAGTGAAAATGAGAGAGGGAGGGGGGGGGGGGGGGGGGGGGGCTGTAAGTAGTGTAACATTTGATCTGGATTAACTTCATCAAGGTAAAGAACACCAGGGATCTATAGTGAAAGAAAAAACAAAATCTTATGTGAAATAATGAAACGTGCTAAGCTGGCAAAAGATTATTGGTGGCATTTATTGATAACAGAGGCTGTTTTTTTTGTAAACTTGATCTCAAGCTGTTAAAATATATGGAATTGATTTCTGAGGTGGTAATGGTACATCAAAGAACCATGACTATAAAATTATCGATTGAAGTTGAAGAAGCTACATATTAACATTACAAAAGAATGCATTGCAGTGAGAGTGGGTCGGGCTGGTTCAGGCCCGTGACCTGGCGTTAACCTACTAAGCAGCACGAGATTCATGTTCTCAAGTGCTATTCACATAGTTATGAGAAAATAATTAGACAAATAATAAAGATTAGTCTAGTAGTTTTGATAAGGAAAAGAAAAGTAAGTATGTTTGGAGAGTTCTCAAGCTCACATTTTTACAATTATTTCTAGTATTAAGAGCTTGAATTAAGATAAAAATGGAAACACACACACGCGCGCGCACACACACATATGTATATATAATTTTCTTTACTAAACATTTTTTAAATGATATATATATATATATATATATATATATATATATATATATAAACATCACACAGAAAAACAGCACAAATACAAAGATATACGCAATTCAGACTTTGAAGGAACACCTGATTGCCTGAGGCCTGGTTATTTTTTACTAACAAAGTAAATATGTATACTAAACTTGGATCGGACGGGGTGGGTCGGGCCTGACCATTGGTGAGTTGGGCCTATAGTGGGTTGGGCCTACTTCTTTGGTCTTGAGTTTGGATCAAAACCAAGCACGGTCCATGAACCGCCACCAAAGTAGGCTAGGTTGGGTTGCCCGAGTTCAGACCCAAATTGGGCTGGGCCAGTTCGGCTCATGGTTCGAACCGGGTTGGGCCCAACCCTAAGAATGCATGTGCACTGTCAAGATAACTGGATCTTAGACATGGCTAGCTCTTGAAACATTAGTTACTAGGTTGCAAGCTGTAGAGAAATAGAAAAATCAAAGTTCATTACTCATCTAATTGTAACCTCTCTTAAATAGAGAATAGAAAGGATATTATAAAATATGTATGAAATAAAATTATATCTAATTACATCTCACAATATCTCATAAGTCATAATATCTACTAGATCTAAATACCAATAATATCCAACACACTTCCTTAAACCGGAGCATATAAACTATATATGTCCAACTTGTTACAAACAAGAATGAAACAACTAGTTGCAAAGGTTTTGGTAATGTCATCTTTACCCGGAACACTTGAAGACGCCAATAATCAGTGAAGTTTAGTCACATGTAGAAGAAACCTTAGACAGGAAAGCCAGTAGAAATCCTAAAGAGATAAGCCAGTAGTGACCCTAAATGAGTTAGGCAGTAAGAAGTAGAAACTCTAGATGGGTCAGCCAAAAAAACAATGCCAAAATGGGTCAGCCAAAAAAACAATGCCAAAATCAAACACTTTTGCATCCAACTGACGAAAGAGAGAGCTACTGTTCACGATGAACTGTATCTACGGATTGCTGTTGTCGGTGAGCAGTACCCGATGAATAGGAACAAAAAAAATTCTTTAGTCTAGCTTTTTTCTAGGTTAGGGTTTTTGATCTTGGAGTCGAATGATGTAGAAGCCAAAGATATTGTCGAATCCGAAGCCAAAGTTATTGTCGAAGCGAAAGATGTGGTCAATGCCGTCAAGGGGAGCATGAACAAGGCCATGCGGAGCATGAACAAGGCCATGCAAAAACCCCTCGACGGCCCTGAGATCTATGGAGAAGTTCTTTAGGATCAAGTAGGCTCCGATACCATGTACACAAATAGAAAAGGGCAAAGTTCATTATTCTTCTAACCTTAATCTCTCTTAAATAGAGACTAAGAGGATATTACAACGTAGCTATCAGATAAAATCTTATCTAATCACATCCCACAAAATCTCAACAATATCTCATAATATCTACTAGATCTAAACACCAATAATATCCAACATAGGCTTGTATGTAAAGCAATCTTGAACTCCCCGTCTTTGTGCTCCTTGTGACTCTTCAGATTGAGGATGACCAACTTTTAAAGGCAAATAATGAACAGAATGGGCATGTTCTATTTTTCAGTTTCAAATGATAAGCCCTCAAGACCAGGTGCTTTAATGCCAGGAATGTATGTGTATGATAAGGTTTTAAGAACTATGATGATCAGCGACAAGAGACTGATATTCCATATACAGCAACATTTTAATGACAAAACTAGTACGTGACAACATTTACTAAAAGAGTGTGCTGCAGCTGCTACTCATAATGTGATAGAAAGAACATGCGGATATAAGGAAAAACCTGCCTGAGGTGTGGCTTTAGATAGATATTACCAGACAAGTTAAGGCACAAAACCAGTAAGAAAGAACCAAAGACTGGGATTTCAAGATAATGTCACCAGAAAACTCAACTTTTATTCAATTTCTCCACAAACGACCTTCTTTCAGGTTATATGAACAGTACGTGCATATTATGACCTCCGACTCAAGACTTAATCTCCAAACATGAAATAAAAGCACTGAACAGTAAATTACGAGAGATGGAATCAGTTTACTGGAATCTATTTTTTCTTCTGCAAATAAAACATAAACTTAAAACTGAACGATAAAAAAATCAAATATGATCCCTAACTCAAAGGAAACTCCCGTATTCTCTTCGAAGAGTTCAACTTACCCAGATACCTAACTCGGCATCATGTACAACAAAATTTGCAAAAGGCACAGTTTAATTAACAACTTAGTAGCCTTTATTTGAATAGCTTCATTTCATTTTTCTTCTAGCATAGTTTGTCCTTGAACTTTGTCTTGCTGCCTAATCTGGACAAAATTTGCAGAGGAGAAGGCCGAGGTGCAGGTTGGACGGTTATGATTCATTTGCATCAAGTGCAAACAATACCTAGGATGCTTAAGTGCGTGTGATTCAGCTCTCTAAAGCTGAACTCAGTAGTTAAAGCATGACTCTGTACTGAGAAGAACACGGATAGCAGACACAGGTACAATGCCACGTATTGCCAACAAAAAGACTTTGCAAAGCATACTGTCAATGCAAACCCACATCAGTTATATGTTTCTGATTATACTGTGTGCAGATCTCCTCTATTGACAATCAACTTCTTTTAATTCTGATGAATACAGAAATTATCATCTTGTGTGTCTCCCTCACTTTATTGTGCTTGGCTTGCTGTGCTTTTCTTTCATTAGAATTAGGAGTCACCTCAATAACCGCAAACCTTCTGTAAAGTAAACCATTTTTATCGAGCAAGCATTGAAATATCCACTCTCCAAAAGTATAACAAGATAACATAAACTTAGCATTGAGGTTCTTAGAAATTGTTGGAACCATTGCTAGGATTGTAATTGATGACACACAAGCTTCGAATCCCAGTATACTGAAGCTGTTGATAGTAATAAGTATAAGCCTGCTAAGTGACCTACACCCTCCTCTATAGAACGACCTCAACTAGATGCCATCTGTATTTAATGCATTTGTCCTTGTATCAGACAGTAATAACATAATTATTCTCCTAAATATATACCTTGTACCTTAAGACCTTAAACAATAGACCGGTCAGGCATCCATGACGCCTCATGCTTTGCTTCAATTCAGGCAAGTGAAGATGATGTCTCTGTTAGTAATCTTGATGAAGATGATTAGAATCCAAGATCCTACTCATTTCTGTCCATGAAGATAACCTCCCCCCACCCCCCACCCTTCTCCCAAACACTTTTCTGTTTTTATTCCCTTTTTCAGTTATCTATACCCTTTGCCCCTCAGATGATGCTACTGAAGAAACCATCCGAAGGCTATTCACAACAGAATAGGCTCTCTATAAATTTTCCCTCCTTCCGCTCCCTTCCTCGCTCATTTTAACCATTACCAGAAGAGAAAAAAAACAAAGAAAACAAAAGAGGCGAAGGCCCTGAAACAATATTTAAAAACAATGAAGATACAAAGAAAAAGGAAGCAGGAACAAAAAACCTTGGCCATTACAACAAAATACCATAGACCTAGGCTTAGATTTTAAAGAGCCATAACGGACAGGAATTAGGGAAGTCTACATCTACCATAAATCTGTTTACTTTCAATGAATAGGGAAGTAACAAGGAAAGGAACAAGAAGGACTAGCAGTAGCATTTGACAACTTTTGATGAAGAGGGCTCTATTCAATATATATACAGAAACAGAGGAAAATGATTTTAAAAAAGTGACTAGATTATTGCCTTAAAAAGATAGTTACTTGCATTCCCTGCTATGCAGGACAGTAAACCAGTGAGAAAGAACAAGGGGAAATTTTTAGCAATATGGGGTGTCAAACCGTAGTACACAGATAAGGCAAATGTTAAAAACCTTAGTACATATAAATGGAAGAAACATGCATGACTACGAAAATTATTACATACATAAGGCAAATGTTAAATATTTAGACTACATTAGAATTGTGTTTACAAAAATAAATGTTCACCTCAGATACGAAATATTTTCAAGTTATCCAAGTTAATAGTCACAAGAACCATCATTTTATTTTATTCAGAAATTGGACGAATTATATAAAAGCAATAGATGTATAAATCAAATAGAATTGCTCACCCACTGCCCATATATTTGACTTTTAACTTTCTAATCTCAGGGTTCATCTACGATGTCTTTGATACATCTAAATATGTCAAGTATCCAACACATATCTGTCAAGTATTGGAGAGTCCAAGTACTGAATACATAGCGTGTCGGGCAGGCGAGCCATCAATCGATGACCTATCTGCTATAGTTATGTCTCCTTCTTGAAAGTATTGATGCTACAAACTAAATACAGAGAGAAAGTATAGAAAAATTATAGAAGATGGCTATCTAACTACGCTAATAAATCAGATAAGATCCTGACTTATGAAGATATGTAGCAACTAGCAAGTTAAGTGCTGCAATGACCTATAAACAGACATTTGCAAGAGATCTAGCATAGTGCATCTTGCACCCTAACCAATCAAGCAGAAGCGTGTGGCTTAGCCTTATGTGTTGCATTGAGATCAAGGCATGTTGAAAGGTCTTTGACTCTTTGCAGTGTGAATTTGCCAATGCAGAACTTGCAGAATCAATATTTAAAAGCTCATGGAATCCTGCTCCAGCTTGTACATTCTCCAATGATACCTAGTCCAACTTGATGATAAAAGGGTGAAAGGGGAAAGGGATCAAGAAAGTTTTAAGTTCATTCACAAAGACATCAGAGAGCTTCACGGTTAGATTTGTTCTCATTTAGACAAGGTGTTACAAATATTATGCCATTAGACTTCTTATTATATAGATCTGATGCATTTAAATATGTCTATATTGATGTTGACTATTTAAGCAATGCTTCAAAAATCAGGTTTCGTTCTTTGTGCAAGTAGAAGAAGGTCATCTCTACCTATGTATGTATTCAAGTCTTTGAACTGTTTAAGAAATATTTGAAACCCAGCGATAATTGTCCTTTTGTACAAGTAGACCCTGCCAGGTGTTTATTGATGAAGGATTCATGCATGTTCTGAATTCATGAACCAGACAATTTTTCTTCGTTCACGACACTGATTGATATGGATGTGCAATAGTTCAACAAGAATGCATCAAATCTTCCATATTCCATTTTCCTTTATCTCTATTTGCTTCCCCACCTTAAACCTCTAAGTCTCCCAACTTTGATCTCCACCTGCTGTTCGTGCCAAACCTTCTAGCCAAAAGGAAAACTCTAAATGGAACGCTTATAGCCCGATAAAGCCCCAGGCAAAATCCAACAACAACATTAACTGGTTCCAGCTTATGTTTTTGCCCTGGCAGAAACCCAAACATCCCTTTTTTGTGCCATACGTCCAGAAACAAATAAAACAGTATACATTATGTTTTCAATCTGAAACAAACCCTTTTACCGCATTGTTGTAAAAAGTAGCCCAGATGGGTGCCTAAGTGACCTAGATATGGAGCTTTGGCTAAGTAGCTTTCTAGAAGTCCAGGTGATTGCTTAAGCGGTTATAGGTGTTAGGAACTTCCTAGCACACCTGGAACCTAGCACTTCTTAAACATTGTCTGCTAAGCCATCATACCATTGCCCATTTGTGAGCATAAAGGAATGCGAGACTACATATTTATTTATTTCTATTTTATTTCCTTTTTTTGCTTGTGTGTGTGCGGGTGCATATGTTGGTGGGGGGTGCATAAGGAACAGGAAGGAGCTATTGAATTAGCTTCAGGACTGGAAATTGGTGCTTTGGCTGAATCACTATTGAGCTTGTTGGAGATGAAGTAAGAAGGGAAGCTATGTAGCACGGACACGGATCCGACACGGTCATCCGACACGCCGACACGAGGCAAATCGTAAAAAATACATAGGATACGTGTGTTCGACACGTGTGTCCGACACGGACACGACACGACACGACACGGCTTCATGTTATGCGTGTCCGTGCTTCATAGAAGGGAAGTGCCCCTGTTCCTTCCAAGCTACCATCTCCTTACCAAAAATTGAGATACTGGATGTGATTCAACCACGTATATTCAGATATTTAGGCTCCATTAGATGCCAGAGGCTTTCTTCGATTAGCTAAATGCAGAAAATCCATAGTTAATGGGGACGACTTTCGAAAATGCGTATTGCAGGGACTTTCACATTATGTATTATGCAATAATAGCTAGTCTGTCAGAAAATGTGGCTTATTACTTGGTTCCGCCAATTCCTTCAAGACTACTAGAAGGAAGGCAGATAGTAAGAGCCATAAAGCCATATGGAACAGGTACAACTGCAACACGTTGGACCATCCGGCGAGACTTCACTTCAGTAACAAAAGTTTTTAATTATGTTGTCAATAACCAGCAAAATGGTTTCTATACCATGTGGGTTAACCTTGTTTAGACACTCGAAGGACAAGGTCACTCAATATATCGATCCATATCAATTCTTAACACATCCTCCACAGCTGTCACTAACAGACAGGATATCAACAACCACAAGGAATTGTATTTTCCGCACGTACGTATTTAGACATTGTTGATGCATTTATGTACTTGTTATGTTGTTAGTCTCCTATCTAGATGTCTCCTTAAGATCTTTTAATGGAATGCAGCGCTATTTTACACGCCTTTTATTCTACCGCATACAAGCAAATGGGTGAATCTAAAAGTAACCCTGTGAGATTATTTTTTTTCCAATGCCTCTAACAGCTAACGAGATTCATCTAAAGACTCGATTTTTACAACTAAAATAACATAAACTAAATAATTAGATAAATAAGCAGTTCGCAATCTCGCAGGTTTCACGGTGTAGTTTGATAATCGAACATGATTTCTTAGATCAAGGGCATCGAACTCTTATCGGATACAGAATCAGGTGGAAATTGCAGATTAATGAAGGGGGGAAAACGGAAAATTACCAACAGGAACGAGAGGATTCTTGACGGGCTTCTTCTGATCGAAGAGTTGTTCCACCTGCTTAGCGTCCGCCATTCCCATATTTCCTTTCCCTGCTCTGGGTGAATATCTTTTTTAACCTTTCTTTCTTTCTTTCTTTTTTAATAAAGGATATATATATATTTTCTTTCGTATGACGGAATTGGGGATTTTCGCTTTTACATGTAGGTTTCTTTTCGTTTCAGCCCTTAGATCTTTAATAGGTTTGACATTAGCCCCTCTCATATAATGGAAATTGCTATTTGCTCCCCGAATCTTATAAGTTGTTTCAAATTAGTCTCATCTCTAGAATTCTTATCTAATATGATAACCGTGACGGGTTTAGTTAGTTTTAGTGATTAACCATGAATGGTTATATCCATTAAACCTCATTAAGTGCATGCTCGTTAGATTTGAGATAGAGAGAAAATATATTATAAAAAGGGTAGGGTGAGGAGATGACCGTAGAAAAAGAATGGATATGAGTTTTAAGCAAATTTGTGATGTAAATAAGTTTCATTAAAATGGCTATATGGAAATATGTGACTAGCATTACACGATAATAGAATAAATATTCATCTCAAATTAAGCGACAGTTGGAGGAACTAATTTAGGGCCGGTTTGTTTGCACGAAAGTAATTATGAAGTAGCTAAAGTAAAATAAGTAAATGCTACTTCTGCTATTTCCAAGCAAAAAAACATGTTTGGTTCTTTGAAAAACTTACTTCCATTACTTTCTTAAATGCTTATGTGGCACCTACGTGTCATCCTTACTTCCAAAATAGTTTTCCAATCCTTAATATTCAGAAGTAGCTCGGAAGTAGTTGAAATGCATATTAATTAGGAAATAAATAATTTTTTTATTAATATTTTCTTTATCGGTTACTTCTAACAGCTTTTCATTGATAAAATTACTTCCTAGTAATATTTCCAAATGTTATCCAAACAAAAAAAGTAAATGAAGAAGAAGTTCTACTTCCATTACTTCTAAAAATATACGAAACAAACAAAAAAAGTATTATTTCCACTACTTCCTATTTCACAATTTTAAAAGTTACTTCTATAACCTATTTCTTACTTCTAATGCTTCCATTATCCAAACGGTGCCTTAAGGTAACTCATAAGATTTGAGGCAACTCGTAAGATTTGAGGCTAGTAGCTCAATAAATTGAGGGCCTACTTCAAATAAGAAGAAGTAAGGGACCGGTATAGGAAAAAAACCTTCTGCTTGGGGGCCTTGGGGATGTAAAGAGGATCTAGCAAATATGGAAAAGTTGAGGAGGAATATGCGCAGCAGTGTTATGGGGACGTGGCTGGAGAAAGACTGCTTCTTTCTCGCTTCGCGTCGGCTCTCAGCTTTGTTGGCCCGACGATCGTCATCCACCTCGTGTTCCTAGCGTTAATTTCCATAAAAGTCCGGACTTATTGACTAATCTCACATTTCATCTTTAGCGAATAACCTTATTAAATTATAAGACTACTGGATCTCAAACTTAGAGGAGGAAGGACCATAAATTCACCATGGCTTAGAAATTATACTGTTTTCTTACGAGGAAATAGTATATTAATCTCAGGTTTCTAACTAAACTTGGAGCTATAATCGTTTCTCTTGCAAACCCACACTAATGGCCATGAAGCAGCTATGATGCTAAACTGTAGTGAATGCGGAAATTAGCTAAATAAAGCCTATGTGAGACCTATGCAATAATGTTTCTGACATGGGTTTCCTACGATAATCGTAGGGGGTCCTCTGGTCAAAGTGGTGGCACTCGGCATCATTTATCAAAGGAGTAGTGTTACAGGGACCCCAAATAGGGGACCCCTGACGGGAGAGGTGAGGTGTCAGTTTGGGGGCTGATTTACTGTTCATGAACAGTAAATCAGCCCCCCAGGACTGACACCTCACATGTCCCCTCTGCTGGAATAGTAATAATAATTTGCCCTTGAACATCTAATATAAATTATGTAATGATATTGTAATGTTAATAAATTTAATTGTTGCACATAATTTGGGTATTATTTATATAATTGTTATATATATCCTTAGAAGTTATTTTGTTAGATCATGCATTGTGATGGTCACTTGCTTGGAGATATGATCTAACTTAGAAATTTCTTAAATTTGTGCTTAACCTATAACTAGTAAAGGATAACTTTGTTATAACAGGTTATTATGCATGACACCGATATATGAGATATGGTGGTGGGTCTCAACCATCGGGAATGGAGATTCTCCGGGTGTATGTCATAAGCACGCATTATGATGTGTGTAGCACTGGACCGTATTTGAATTCTCTAGGATGAGTCACCTAAGAGATAGAGAATTCAAATTGTTACATGGTCCCTTTGACTTGATGATATTGTCATTTTTGATTTGATAATTTAGTATGCTTTGATGTGATGGTTAAGCTTGTTTAGCAAGCGCTACACAACCTGAAACATTGGGTTGCTAAATTTCATTTAGGAAAATGATGGATGTCTAGATAGGATCCAGTATAGGTTATCCTAAAGAAAGTACTAGGTATTATATTGATAATCCTAGTGTAGTTTTCAGACAATAATTATTACTAGAAATATGTTCTTTTATAAAGTCAAGCTTGATAATTAGGATTTATATAACTCAAGAAGAAAATTTGTTTTCTTTAGTGGGAGAGTTATTTAATCCAGTGGGAGAAACTTCAAATGAGTTGAAGATTGTATAAATTTAGTGGGAGCTTTAAGTAATAAAGTAAATGTAGATTTACTTACTAAATTTATTGTTGAATACACTGATTACAATTAGGAGATCAAACAGGATTTTCATCCACCTGTATAGTACAGTAGCCTTGTTAAAATATATTTGATGAAAAGTAACAAGGAGAATAAAAATCCTAAAACTTACACAAAAGTCATGTTGGACATGATTTCATGTAAGAGACCTGATATCATATTTGATGACAAACGGGTATTAATTATTGAAGAATCTTTTCCTCTAATTGTAATATTATAGTTCATAAGGATCCATTTAGTCATTTCAACGTGTTATGAATATAAGATATCAATAAATGGATTTTAAAATAACCTTCTTGAATGGATATCTTTAAGAAGATATTTACATATTATAGAATCAAGTATGTAAAATTCAAGAAGATAAAATTGATTAATTGAATCAATTAAAGTTATGAACTTAATCAATCAAACATTCATTTTGATGAAATGTTTAAGGAAATTGATTTTAATCATATCCTTAAAAAGAAATAATGTGTGTATAAGGAACAATAAAGTAAGTCCATTATATTCCTATCATTGCATGTTGATGACATATTGCTCATTAAGAATGATATTTTTTAATGTCATGAGTAAAAGTAAGATTTAGTTCTTTATGAAGGATTTTCTTTTGACATTCTATATCGTAGATCTTAAACTCTATATAGATAGAGAAATAGATATATAGAGTTGTCACAATCTACTTATATGGATAAGATCCATAAAAGATTCAACTTAATAAGATTCCAAGAAAGGAAAGGTTCCTATAAGACATAAACAATCTCTCTTTAAGGAAATGTGTCCCAAAAAGGTTATTGATCTTGTAAGTAGTTTTCAATCCAATCATAATAATAGAAAGTCTGTTTCGGGTTATATTTATATCATTAATAATAATAGCAGAATATGTAGTGCCATGTTAAATCATTAAAAGAAGGAATATGGATTAATGAGTTATTCCATAAGCTTAATATTATTTCTTGTAATAATTTTCTTTCTCATTATTATTTGATAGTAATGGAGCTGTTGCAAGAAGCTTAGAAAGAAAAATTATCTTATTAAAGGTTAATAAGAAGAAATATGTTATGGTTTAATAGATGGCTGAGCAGATAACATTTAATGTCCTTTTATAGACCATTGTCTTAAAATGTTTTTGACAGATGGGAGTAAGGATTATATCTGATTGGATGTTAGGGCAAGTGGGAGATTGCTGGAATAGTAATAATAATTTGCCCTTGAACATCCAATACAAATTATGTAATAATATTGTAATGTTAATAAATTTAATTGTTGCACATAATTTGGGTATTATTTATATAATTGTTATATATATCCTTAGAAGTTATTTTGTTAGATCATGCATTGTGATGGTCACTTGCTTGGAGATATGATCTAACTTAGAAATTTCTTAAATTTGTGCTTAACCTATAACTAGTAAAGGATAACTTTGTTATAACAGGTTATTATGCATGACACCGATATATGAGATATGGTGGTGGGTCTCAACCATCGAGAATGGAGATTCTCCGGGTGTATGTCATAAGCACGCATTATGATGTGTGTAGCACTAGACCGTATTTGAATTCTCTAGGATGAGTCACCTAAGAGATAGAGAGTTCAAATTGTTACATGGTCCCTTTGACTTGATGATATTATCATTTTCGATTTGATAATTTAGTATGCTTTGATGTGATGGTTAAGCTTGTTTAGCAAGCGCTACACAACCTGAAACATTGGGTTGCTAAATTTCATTTAGGAAAATGATGGATGTCTAGATAGGATCCAGTATGCTCATTATGATGAGTTAATTTATTATGCATTCCCATGAAGCTATTAAATTCCTGCCGGCAGGTAGCTTTGAAAATATTTTTACAAAATTTATTTTCTTATAAAAAATAAAATATTTTGATGTTTCAAAATAATTTTTATTTATGTTCATGGGAATTGCAAATTTAGACATGAGCAAATAGGTGAGTTGTCCTACTTAAAAGAGTTGCCTAGAATAAATGATACTGGAAGGGATTGAATGTAAGATATTATTTATTAATAATTAATCCCATATTATGGAAGAGCTTTTATGAACAATTGGTCGGATAGGGATTTGATTGTTAAATTAAAATTATTAATTTGATTAATAATTGGTTCTCGATATGGGACCCAATTGGTCTCACTAATGTCATTAGAAGAGGTATACATGCAATACAATTCTATTTCTATCCTTAATTGTTATGGATAAAGTTTTTGAATAAATCTATTTCTATCCTTAATTGTTATGGATAAAGTTTTTGAACAAATCTATTCTAACCTTAATTGTTATGGATAGAGTTCTAGATAATTATGAATTGTTTAAAGTTAAAATCTCTAAGACTAGTGTAATCCTAT